ATCGGAGCTTTTACTCTATCTCTGACGTCCTCGGTGATGGCTGGGATGATGCAGGTCTTGGTGAGTGGTAAATCAGCTTTTGATTAGGATACCTCTTATCTTCTTTTCTATACATGTTCCATGGTACCATTTCTTTTATGAAGAACCTCGTTGCTTCTGCTCTCGATGTCACATTGGGCCCGGGTCCTTTAGCTTACCTCTTCCCGAGCTCTCGACTGCCGCGGCACCAGCACACCCTCTTTTTTTGACAAGATTCTTGTGGCTTATGATAGTAGGACTGGAGAGCGGGATTGTATCCTAGATATGCATAGATAATTATGATAATAAAATTTTTGAACCAAATATATTGCAGTCAGGGAAGCTCAGATGAGAACAGATGAGAACAGAGGAAATTGTCGAGTTGATATCTCCACAGATGGGCTCAGATCAGTCCATAAAAATTATGTAAAAAGTCCTAGTTTTCTGAACTCATCGGAGCAGACCTGACCTCATCTGAGCATCAGCCCAATTCACTGATGCTCAGCTCAGCTCAGATGGGTTCAGATGGGCTCATTGTGAGTTCTCACTGGGCTTAATCACTGCTAGCATCGCAACGATGTTTTTAATCCTAACGTACTTAGCTAGGCCTCCTTCAACAGCCCAATTGTGATCCCCCTCCTTCGCCTTCGTTTTAATCCTCCACCTGGAATTATAATTCTCTCTCATAATTTACGCCCCGAATGTCAGAATTCGACATACCTGAAATCGTAGATGGTGATATTTTCCCTGAAACCTCAATCTCTGGCGATGTCGACGGTGGTCACGACTTCTCCTTCTACAGCCCGCCAAATTCAAAGGACCGTGAACCCGGGACTTTGCGCCCATTAACAATCGGTGTAAAGAAAGGAGTCCGTGACGGCGCGATGGTGGTTTACATCGCGTTCACTGTCCTGTCAGCCCATCAGCTTATAGCGGCACTGATGAAACTCTGCGTCGGACGGAGGCAACGAAAAGGGTTTCAACGAACGACAAAGTTTAAGGTGCTAATGGTCTTGACGACTCTGAGCTTGTTAACGGTGAACGCGTTGGGTATTGCATACACAAGACTAGGTCAAAACCTTGAAACCTCCTACTCAGAGCTACAAAGTTCAGATGGTTCAATCGACAATGACTCCTTCCTGGACCTAATAACATCCATCTGGACGATTCAGGCGGTGGACGACGTCCTTGCGAAGGTGGCTCAGTGGCTGGTTATCGTTTCGGCGGTGATGCTGCTGTACGATTATTTGGCGTACAAGACACAGGGGGGTGAAGAGCCCGGGAATCATCAGAAAGATCCCTCCAAGAGTGCATGGGAAAAATACCCAAAAAGCTTTATTATTATCTTGTATGTGGGCGCATCTTTGTTGGCTATCGTGGGCGCAGTACAACTGAGGATCTCTATGGTCAGTCCTGACCCCGATACGCAGAAAACAACCCAGATAGCGGTTGCATGGGTTTTCAGCATATTCTTTGGAATGACCATTGGGATTTTCACTGAATTATACGGAGCGGTCACGGCATATGTCACGCTGCTTCCTGAGCTGGTAATGAATCGTTTGTATCCTTTGACCACCTTTGCTAACGTCGGCCTACAGAATGCGCGTGGGCTTAAATCTGCTCTGACTTTCTTGTTCTACTTAACAATATTCTTCATATTGGACGCTATCCTTACCTTGACGAGCATTGATCAGAATATCGCGAAGCTTGTGGAGATTACTGTTGTGGGTGGGTTGACGGCCAGCATAGTCTGGAGCTTGCTATGAGAACGCGAGATAAAGGCCCCGACCCCGACGAAGGCTTCGACGCCAGGATGGAAAGCTGTCAAGATAATCTTCCGGTTTCTCCGTTTAGTATTCAATTGTCAACACGGCGAGGATAATTACGACTATCAACACGACGAGGATGATTACGATTATCAGCACGGCGAGGATAATTACGATCGTTATTACGGCGAGGATAATTAATCCCATACTACGATATTTATTTCGAATTGTGCTTGATATTACATAACACACTTCTTGCGGAGGGGATGGGAGGCTGTAAAGACGTCAGAAATTCTCATTGATATGTACAGTTGTGAAACGCACTTTGTAAGACTACTTCGCCTCGCAGTTCGACGGCTTAGCTAGGTTTCGTTCACACGAACGCGAAGGATCTTGTGTAGTATAAGTTGGACATCTAGAATAAAGAATCACGAATACACGTCTTCTTCTGCAGTATTGTGCTGACCTAGGACAGTACAACGAGTATCAAGTGAGCAACGATACACACACCCAACAACGCACAGAGAAGTAGAAGTAGAGAAGTACCACCAGGCTTTCAAGTCCCTCATCCTTCATAAGCGCGAACATCGACTTCTCGACCCGCATTTATAGGTGAAAAGCCATGCGGTAGTGGATAAGAGATCCAGCTAAGGCGGATTGAGCTACTGGGTGCAAGACGATCTATTATCGTAACTAGTAAGTAACTAGGTCTGGGTCAGGGAAAATGAGGTGAACATACCTTCTTAAATGGTCCACCGCAGAAATATTCATAGCATTGGTACATGGTGAACCGGAAGACGTGTGTACGTTGAAGCCCCTTAAGCGCCTGTGTCGAAGCCAAGGTCAACGCATGTATGAATACGCCATCGAGTCTGAATATGCGGACGATGATGAGAGTTGCAATCGAAACGGCGGGGATCTATGTGTGAAGTTATAAGACCATTAGGAAGGAAGACTGCGGAACATGGTCCTATACGTTGCCTATACGCCGCGGTCCCATCATCATCAAGTTGCAAAGCTGCAATCAACGGTTGGTGAATTAGATGATATATTGTAGGACGCTATATATTGCGAGTCCCAGGTTCCGTATTTCGTCCATATGGGTCCATAACTGTGGAGTCCCCCACGTACGTTCGTTGGACAATGCTGACGATCATTGCGCGTCGATAGCCACCAACGCGAAGGAAGCCCACGAACATCCACCTGTCTCGAAGGATTCATGAAGGAAGACGGATGTTCTCCACGAGTTGGGTCTATCGAGACGGCTATGGATATGGTTACAGGGATGTGAAGAAACGAGGGTGGGGTGTGCCTGTAGCTGGAAGGAGGAGGCAGATTCGGAAGTAAGGATGTTGGATAAGGAGTCCATTAGTTCAGCCGAGGTTTGCAATCATAATCCCACATGACATATATTCTTATTATGGTGACGGTGTGAAGCACTGATGATCCGAGGGATAGTCGAAGAACCGAACAGCAACGTTGTACGCAAAAGGTTGGATTGCGTTCGTGGCGGATACTGGGTGTGCTTGAATGATCTTCAATCGGGACTGCATGGCATGGAATCGAAGCAGTGTAGCTGCTGACATGATACTCACACTCTCTAAGCCGTATCCACTCCACATCTGGACCTGCACATTTCTACATCCCACGCATCCTTCTGAAATGTATCTTGAGGACCGACTGCTGGATCTTCTCCGTCCGCTTTCCCGTCTCGTGTGCGTATGAAGGCGAAACCAACTAGAACTAGGTCTATATCGTCCGTTTTCGTAACGACGTTGCGAAACCAACGTGAGTTGTCGAAGGTATAGGACGTTCGAAAGACATTGCTGATCTGCAGTCGTTGTGTCAAACAAGGATCTGGCAGATCTCACAAGGGTCTATTGGAATGTGAGGATGCACGGGTCGTAGTGGTGGATACGGGAGGATGTACCGCTACGACAATGTCCAGTCCCGAGGCACCAGCTGCAGCAGAATGTTGAGTGGAACGTACAACGTCTTCGCAGGATCCGTCTTCGTACCCGGTCGCATATTTGGCAGAATCCGTGTTCGTAGGTTCACCCGGTTGGTAGGACGAATGCAGGAGAATGCTTGGTATGGGATCTCTGTATGGTCGGTAGTGGAAGAAGTAGTCCAGACGCTTTGAGCTGGATGTTATACAACGGCCTAACACCATAATTAGTGAATAATTTGGCCCTGATTGGGGGATATATGATGGTCATACCTTCTTGCATTGTCAACGGCCAATAACATTGCTATCATCCATACGTAGTGGGCCGGAAGACGATGGTGCACATGTGAAGGCTACTAAGCGCCCGTTTCTAGTACGCAGGAGAGAGAGCGATGTAAGAAGTTGTCGTTTAACCTGGATATAGGACCTGCGAAGGATAGTGGGAGGTTCGAATGAATAAGGACGAGTGGTATATGAATTGCGGCTTCAGGCCTTCAGGTGGAAGGCTGTGGTAGATCATATTCAGCATATGCTCTAAACTTGGGCCGATGACGCGGTGACGAATGAGGAGTTTGAAGATACGGTGTATGTCGTTATCTTCGTCCATAATTCAATTAAGATTAATATCACGTCCACTTTCAGAGTAAACAGGGTCTCCAAGTACGGAATAGACCGTTCCGTCCACCACGAGGAGACCACGCCGCGAGCATTGTCAATGCAAGTTTATTCAGTGAGATTGATCCCGGTGTACGCTTGGCTGAGGGTATCCGCATTCCAACGCGCCCGAAGCACGTGGAAGAAAGCGTAATAGCTCTGACATCATGCGTCGTATAAGAAGAGCCAGAAAGGAAAGGGGTTTGATAGCCTCCATCCTCCTATCGACGTTCCCCAACCCAAACGCGGCCTGAGATGGAAACGCGGATCATCGAAGGAATCTGATGAACACATAGTGCTGCTAACGTTTCTTCTCAATCACGTCCACCGAGCACGAGAGAAGGACGGAACTCCTGGAGTTTGGAGGTTGGGATGTGAAGATGCGTTAAGGCCGGTTGTCGTATATCAGCATGGCTAATTGGATGGATTTCGCAACAGGTATCTACATCAATACCTTGTAAGCTAAAGAATATTACAGAATGCTCAACGGAATGCAAACACATGGGACCGTGACGCTATATTATCCTCGTCTGCACATCCTTTTCGACCTTCGATTGTGTCGAGAATTGTCTAATAATAGCACAATTCACGGACCGATGCCGAGAGCAAAGAAATGACCTGAACAGGAATTGAACCTGTGACCTCAGGTAAACTAGCCCCACGCTCTACCAACTGAGCTACCAAGTCGTCGCTTGCGTACACCCAATCGCGTAAACGTCCGGATTCCTGGTGGAACTCCGGGAGCCACAGCGATGCTCAAATCTCCTTTCTGCGTCAGATTGGAAGAATGCTCTAAGCTTGGAAAGTGGTGGGTTTCGGGGCTGGTAAGGAGCTGACAACCTGATTCAGTATCAGACCTATTCCTTGTATCCATAATCATGCAGACGCGATTTAGCATTAGTTTCTGGCAATTTTTCGTTATGAATCCTACGCAAGTCTAATCCTCAGATCGCCAAGATTACGACGACGCGGGCTTCGTGAACAGTACATCGAATCTGAGCCGACTACACCATTTGTGTTCTAGAAACATCTATGACAAAGTCTTTTTTGTTGAAGTCTGTGATTTACGGGCTATCTAAAATTATCGTTCCGTTATGTAATCTTTGTACATTAGGTAATTATTGTTTTAAGAACTTACGTTATACCTTCATCGTACAACAACTTTTTACAGGTTATGGGCCCCGGCGTACACTATGCAAACTAAGAAGAAAAACAATTACCAGCACTCCACTCGTGTGTTGAAGCCGCTTACCAGTTATTACCTGACACTCGCTCCACATAGCCGTCGAAGCCACCAGGAATAACCAACCACTTAACGACATCGAACCCTTATCGGATCTGCTATTCCGACGGCTCGACAGCTCTAAACAGAACCAATCCCACACCCGCTTTCTCTATAATCATACCTCTCAATGACGGAAGACATATCCAACTCGCGATCGCCGCTGTCGAAGCTGGGTGGCGCAGTAAAATACAATGACTGGGAGAAGTCCATGTTTGGTCGATTAATGTCCCTCGGTGTCATTGGAATCGCAGAAGGCACAGAAATCCCTATCGCACAGCCGTCACCTGGCGAAAAGGACGCTACAATTATTGCCACATACAATGCATACATACTACGCAGCTACAAGGCCGCCGGCGAGATCTACCAATGGCTAGACAAGGCCAACAAGATTCATGTCGATGATATCCGTAGCAAGCCAAAGGAAATGTGGGAGAAACTCAAATCTATTCATAGCAAATCTGCTCCCAATTCCCGTTTCAACTCTCTCAGTGACCTCCTATCCATCCGACTCAAAGATGACGAATCTCTGACAGATCTATCCTCCCGGATCCAGGGTGCCATGCAAAAGGTCATGGCCTTGTGCCCAAAGTTTGGTTACAATATCGAGAAGCTTGATGAGGAGCTGGTGATCATGACGATGATCCGTGCCCTTCCGCGCGAAGATTATGCCTCATTCATATCATCGGTTCTTCTTCTCACCAACCTCTCAAAGGACACTGTGCTTGAAGCTTTCCGTACAGAGGAAACTCAGCACAAGGGAGCACAAGATGACGTCGAGGCAGCTGCAGCTGCAGCAGCTCGAGTTCTCAAGTGTTACATTTGCGACGGCGCACACATCATGACTGCCTGTCCAAAATACAACGATGTACGAGCTCTTGGGAAGGAAACTGGAACCGGAAGCAGTGGGAGCTCCAAGAAGAAGCGGGGTGGACGTGGAGTAGGGCACGGTGCGACTGCTGCTGCTGCCAAAACTACACCCGTCATCGAAGAAGGCTGTGATGGACCTGCAGTCAAAGCTGATGCCGCCGTTTGTCTATCAGTCAGCTCATCGGTACTGTCAACTGACACATCCTGGAATGCAGATACTGGCGCCACTGTGCATATGACTCCGCATCGCGACTGGATCACATCTGACTACATACCATGGCGCGTCCCTATTCACCTTGCTGATGGAAATGTGATATATTCAGCAGGGAAAGGAACAGTTCACTTTCAGCCCTCAGCAAAGACAAAACCCATGTGCCCGATTTTGATAACAGATGTACTCCATGTACCTAGTCTCTCAAACAATTTACTATCTGTTCTCACTCTGACTTCGCAACAAAGTTTCACAGTTACAATCATTGGTCTGACAATATCATTCTTTATTGCAAAAACTCTCATGTTTACTGCCACCGTTACCTCTGGAAAGATAGCTTACCTCGATGGACAGGTCATTACAATGAACCATATTAAGGCACATCACGCTCTTGCAACAGCTGTCAACCGAGAACTCATGCATCGACACTTATGTCACATTGGAAAGGATCGACTAGAACAGATAATCAAACATGACCTAGCCTCTGATCTCGTCATTCAATCCAACGATCCACAGTTAGATGTATGTGAAGCATGCATCAACGGCAAACAACACTGACATCCTTTCTCCTCAAATGTCGAGCGCTCAACAGGTATCCTTGACCGAATATTCAGTGACTTGCATGGACCAATGCCAGTTGCGAGTTTCTACGGTCACAAATATTGGGTGATATTTGTTGATGACGCCTCATGATTCCTCGAAGGATACGGACTAGCAAAAAAGAGCGACTTGTTTGAATCTTTCAAGTTAATTAAGGCTTTGGTAGAGAAACAAACTGGGCGACGCATTCGGTGCTTCCACAATGATGAAGGCGGAGAGTACACACTCAAAGCTTTGCTCAATTTCTGTGAAAAGGAAGGGATTCGAGTTGAGTTTACCACCCGTGCAACTCCTCAATCCAATGGTGTATCTGAACGCATGAATCGGACAATTTCTGAGTCAATCATTGCTATGAACACCGAAGCAAATCTTCCACCTAGCTTCTGGATTTTCGCACTCAATGTATATCGTCATGTTCACAACCACTGTCCAACTTCTGCACTGCCAACAGATATGACTCCATATGAATGTTTTAAAGGACGCAAACCGAAGATTAGTCATCTTCGTGTCTATGGATGCCGAGCGTATGTTCTAATAGGGAGAGACAAGCGCAGGAGTCTCCAGGACCACACAGTCAAGGGAGTGTTTGTAGGATATCCTCCAAACCATGTCGGATGGATGATCTACAACCCGCTCACAAAGAAGATCATCACCTCGAGAGATGTAATCTTCAATGAAGCGGAATTCCCTGGTATTGCGACAAAATCCTCGACCGCTGATACTGTAGCTCCGCACTCGAGTGACTTCGGCCCATCTTATGATGAACCATACGATAATGATGGCCCCTGTGATCCGCTACCTAAACCGGTGGGAGCTGTGACTCCAGATTTGCCAGATGCGTTAGAGGTACCTGCGCCTCAACCATTGGTCAACGCTCCTGCTCCTACTCCTGCTCCCGCTCCTGCTCCAGTTCCAGCCGTGGTACCCCTCGCACCTCGACGATCTTCTCGAGCGCACAAACCTACACCTGATTCTACTGCCATATATGACAAAGCTGTTGAACGTCAAAAAGCGAAGGTCTCACCTCTTGCTAATATTGCACCTGGTGTTCCCCTGCCTCCGAGCCCTGTCATTGAGGAGCCTCCTTTGTGGGACGTCACTGTTGGCCTGCCAGATGCAAATGATGAGCAACTAGTTGATTTTGACATCAACCTGGCATCTGACGAAGCATTAATGCTTGCTGGACGTGCATTCGTCGAAAACGGGGTGGATTTTGGTGGTTACGGTCGAATTGCAGTCAACTTGGCACATCACAATGCCTTTAAAGTTGGTGCGCATGATACAAACCCTCGAAGCTACCGAGAAGCTGTTGAGAGCGACTATGCCGAGGAATGGTACAAAGCCATGGCAGAGGAAATGACCAACCATGAGGTCAACGGGACTTGGACACCTGTATACCTTCCCGCTGGCCAAAAGTCAATAGGATCACGCTGGGTATTTAAAGTGAAACATTTGCCAGATGGGGCTATCGATCGCTTCAAGGCTCGTGTTGTAGCTCAAGGATTCAGTCAGCGCCCAGGTGTCGATTTTGATGAAACCTTTGCTCCCACTGCTCGCTGGTCTGCAGTACGTACAGTTCTTGCTATTGCAGCAATTGAAGACATGCATCTCGAATCAGTGGATATCACAGCCGCTTTTCTCAACAGCCTCACAGATGCAGAACTTTATCTCCGCTTGCCCGATGGTGCAGACCGTACTGTCTCTCCTGGCACTATCAAACTTCCTGGAGATGGACCTATAGTTGGCCGCCTTAACAAAGGCATGTACGGTCTTATGCAGGCTGCCTATCTGTGGCACAAGCGCATGAATGAGGTGTTTATCTCCATTGGATTTGTGCGTATCGTCTCTGATCCCTGTGTCTATGTCTATCTCCGTGATGGTGTTAGGGTAATTATCCCTGTTCACGTTGATGATATGACCATTGCCTGCACTGATCGTCCAGCCATTCTCCGTGTCATAGAAGAATTGCGGTCCCACCTCAAATTACGTCATCTTGGACCTACCGCTGGCCTGCTTGGGGTTCGTGTCACTCGTGATCGTCCAGGTCAAAAGTTGTGGATTGACCAGAGAGCTTATGCTGTGGATCTCCTAGCACGATTCGGAATGGTCGACTGCAAACCTCTCTCTGCACCAATGGATATTGTCAAAAAGCTTTCTAAAGCTCAGGCGCCATCTACAGACACTGAAAAGCAGGCTATGGCAAGTATACCATACATTCAAGCTACTGGAGGACTCCTATATCTCGCTCGTTGTACCCGCCCAGATTTGCAATATGCGGTGGGAGTTTTGTGTAGACATAACTCAAACCCAGGCATGGATCACTGGCAAGCCGTTAAACACCTCCTCCGATATATTCGAGGAACTCTTGACTATCGCATCGAATACTCTGCTAGTGCTGCACTTACTGGACCACAGATGTTCTGAACATATTCGGATGCCGACCATGGAGGAAATGTAGACAATGGAAAGTCTACATCCGGTTATCTCATTCTCATTGGAGGTGGCGCCGTCAACTGGTCCAGCAAGCTGCAGACAATTGTCGCGATGTCTACAACGGAAGCAGAATTTGTAGCCGCAAGCGAAGCAGGCCGCGCTCTCTGTTCCATGCGCACATTTCTTGACGAGATTGGATATTCACAAGCTGGCGCATCCGAGCTCTTACTTGACAATCAATCCGCCATCTCAGTCAGCAAGCACCCAGAGCATATGGGTAAGCTCAAACAT